GCCTCTTTAGGTTGACTGTTGAGTCCTTCCAATGAGACCTTTTTGTTTTCTAGTACAAGAAGTCCTTGTCTGACTTTAGATGCTTCTTTCTCAGTCTGGGCATTAGCCATTTTTCCAAAGCCTTAGTTCCTTTCAGTGGAAGATACTGGTCTGTGTGTGTGTGTGTGTGTGTGTGTGTGTATTTTAGGACAAGGTCTGCAGGGTTTCACTGCATAGATCAGACTCTAGTGATCCTCCTGTTTACAACCTCCCAAGTGCTGGGATTACAGGCATGCACCACCACACCCAGGCTCAATCACTGTCTCAGTGTGCCCCAAGGCAGGGCCGGCACTGCAGGCCCAGGAATCAAACTCCCAGCCCTTGCGTTTGCCTAAGCAGATGTTTTAATCTGCTGAGCTATTTGGCTGGCCCTGCTGTGTTCTTGAGATCAAACTTTCTTTTTTCTTCCCTAGTTTGTCTCCATTAACCATGAAAGAAGTATCAACTTTGCATCCTATTCAAAAAATTTTTGCTCTGAAAAAAAATTTTTTCTCTGGGAAACTTTTTACTTTGCATAGTATATATGCAAAAGTCTAGAGATATCTAGGATCTGTCTCTGAAATTCCATAAAATGGTATATTCCTAGTGAGGGCAGGCAGGTAAGGATGTCCAAATCTTGGGTCATGTGGAGATTAAAGTGAGCATTTGGGAGGTGGGGTTTGAGAAGCCTAGAATCACCCACACAGCACTCGTGTCAGGTCTTGCTGCTGTGCACCCTTGGCCCCAGCCCAGCCACTGAGTGATTCCATTTGAACTCTTCTCTCCAAAGGTCTCTGGAAGCCTACCTATTCTGGTGGACATGATATCTGAACTTACATATTTTCTATGTTGGGTGGCCTAAAGGTAAGGTGATATTTAGCGTTTGAAAGTAACTTTTGCCTCTTTTCTTTTCCTTCGTAGATTCCTAGAAGAAAAGCCAAGGGAAACAGGACAGAAGCTCACTTCAACCACCTGGTTGAACAATATAAGCAGAAACTGTTAGGACCTTCTAAAGGTGCACCTCTTGCAAAGAGGAGCAAATGGTTTGACAGTTGATGTGGTTGGTAGTCTGGGTAAGAAGATGGATGTGCACTTTCTGGTAAAGCTTAGAATCCAGTCTACCTCCCATGTCTTTCATAAGGGAAAGAAGATCCCTGGAGGCCCTTTTGTTGGGAGGCTCCTTGGGCTTTGCACTTCTGAACTGTGGTCCCCATCTAGTATATGGTTAGTCACAAATACCCCCAAAAGTCATGATGCTTCTTGCATATTATCCACATTATTGTGAAGTTGTGTCTATGGTTGTTACCTATTTTTTAAATCCCTGATTCTTAAATGGAAATAATTGTAAAAAGCATTCTGGAATACTGAATTTTTAAGATGTATATTTTGTTAGGCATCCTCTAAATGAGATACTGTATGACTTTTTGAATGGCAGACTGGATCTTATTTCTAATATGTATAAATCTGTTATTGTGTATGAATATTTTGAATATTCCTTATTCAGTTGTTTGGTCCTATGTACTTGAGGAGTTACCTGAATAAGAACAGAGAAAAATGCATTGTGACCTATTCTCTGTAGGCAGGGCACACTGAGTTAGAAAGCAGTTGAGGATGGTAGGCCTGGCACCGAGCAGTGCCTCCTGAGTGTCTGCTGCAGGAGAGGGGAGTGGCTGGTAGCTGACTAAGAGATCCGTTTACAGTGGTACACATGCCTGCCTGGCCAGTGATGTCTGCATTTCTCTCATAGAGCACTTTGTCCCGGGGACTCAGAAGTAGTAGGTATAAGAAATGCGGTGCACATGGGGTCCAGGCTGTAACCTAGTACCATTACTCTGGGGATTGTCTTGGGGGCTTACTTTCTTCATCTGAAGAATAAGCAGTTTAAGTGTTGTTTCCTAGCTCTAAGTTTTTCTAACTCACTCTTGTGCATATTCAAATGTTCTTTTCTAAAGAAAACTCAGGTGGGGGATGAATTAGGGAGTCAAAGCTCATAAGGTTCCTGCTGACATGAAGAAGGAACAGTGTCTGAAAGGTAAAAATTACTGGGGACAAAGACAAATCTCTGTGCCTTGGTCTAAATACCCATCTGCACAGCTTCTGCGGGGGAAGTGGGCATCACCAAATTCCCGTTACAAAACAGCATTTTGGCATCACACGTACACTGGGACTTTTAGGCTGCCTTGGTGGGCATTTGAGGTCTCAAGTGAGCACAGTGCTATACTCTGGGCTGGTCAGCACCTGCAAGACAAGTGCGGTGACCAGTAAGTGAAGGAAACCAAAATACATTGAAGGGGCCAGGGAGATGGCTCAGTAGAATAAGTGCCTGGCAAGTGCAAGGGCCTGAGTTCAATCCCTGGTTCTGCCAAAAAAAAAAAAAAAAAAATCTGGTCATGACAAGTGAAAATCAGTGTACACTTTTCTGCTTCTGTGAACATTTGAAAGTTGCCCTAAGCAAAACCTAAAGAAAAGATTTAAAAAAAAATGGGCAGGGGACATGGCTCAGTAGAATAAGCACTTCGCTGACAAGTGCAAGGGTCTGAGTTCAATCCCCGGTTCTGGAAAAAAAAAAAAAATTAGATGAATTGCCAAAGGAATGGGCCTGCCTTGAAATGGAATTAATGGGCTGCAATAGAAGTGAGGGTAGTCCAGAAGGGGTATGGAGATAGAGTCCACAGGGGAATCAGTTTGATTTACAATGAAGAACTATTTAATGTAGTTGTCAGAGAAGCATGAGCCCCTCCAGAATGATCCCAGTGTTGATGGTCTCCAGTGCCACCGAGTTATGCTAGAGGAGACGTTAAGGATTGGTCAGGTCATTAATTCCTGGTCCTAAGATGACTGAAAACATGCCTCAGATGGCCCCTTACTCGGAGGCTCCTTTCTAGAGGTTGTCTGGCTGCCCTTATCTGTACATATCCTTCATAGACTCCATTCTCATCTCTGCTGCTTGAGATAATTTTCGCTCCAGTGGTTGCTTATCTGTTTGACCAGAATCACAACCAGCTGGTGTGCTGGTCTCTCCAGCCCTCTTCTAGCTTGTGTTTATCCACTGTCTTTTCCATTCACGCTTGGCCACGTAGGCCTGCTGTTTTCTTGACTCTAACCCCTCAGAGTCTGTCTGTTCCCAGATATACAGCTGCTGGAAAGCTTTCCTCTGGATGTTCACATGTGTTAGTTCTTCACTGAGCTGTCACTCTTCTCTGGAGCACATCCTTAACTATTTAAAGCAGGGCTTTTCTTTTCCTCCTCCTCTTCCCCCTCTCCTCCCCCCCTACCCGCCCAACCCCATTTTGTTGCCCTTTATTTTGTTCCTAGCACTAATGTCTGTCTGAAATCTTTCATCCTCCCAGTTAAAATATCTGCTGTCTGCTTTGGAGAAATTTTTTTTTTCTTGTTTGCCTCTATGAAAACAAGACCTACTACTGAGCCTGTCACCTACTAGGTACAGAATACATATTTACTGAATGAAAAAAAAAAACAACAAAAAAACAAGAAACAGTAGTTAGTAAACAGGAAAAAAAGCTCGGAACATAGCCCAGAGTGCTTGATTCCTCCCCAGTGCTACAAGTGATGCTTTTATGGATTTATTACTGAATTAGACATTGAGTCTGTTTCATGGCATTGTGTTGGGAACTAGTGGATTCTTCAAAATGCCCTTGATTGGTTTGGGATGGATGAAGGAGAAGTCATGGAAATATTTTTTTTTAGTCATGGAAATATTTAACTTTTGGAGAGATCAAAGGGCAAGTGCCATCTCCAGGGCCATTAATCAGTTAGGGTTTACTAGAGAAACAAAAATTTTTTTTTGAGGTGGTGTCTCCCTATATAGTTCAGGCTGTTCTTGAACTAGTATATAGCCTAGGCTGGCCTCAAATTTTTGGTGTTTGTACTGTCTCAGCTTCCTGAGTGCTGACATTACAGGCATGAGCCACCATGCTAGGTGGAAATTGTATATGCGGTTAGATAAAGGATTTACAAGGTAGGCTTCCACCGGCCACCTTCAGAATCAGAAGTGAAAGAGTGCAGAATGGGCCACCTTTGTGCTGGAGAGGATTCAGTCAGAGGTGGAAGGCCTGGAGCTCACTGCAGAGTCCAGCACGAGCCTGTTGGAAAGCCAGAAGGTCTGCGTTGGAAGGCTAAAGGAGCTGGAGAGGAAGTCCAAGGGCAGTGGTAAAGTCTACACCTCCTTTAAAGAAGAAGAGAGTTGGGGAGAAAAGGGAAATCTTTTTCTTCTGTATTTTAGGGAAGGCTCTACAGGGTGTTCAAAGTCTCACTATGGACTCATAGTGATCCGCCTATTTACAGCCTCCCAAGAGCTGGGATTACAGGCGTGCGCCACCATACCCAGTCTCAATTGTTGTCTCAGCATCCCCCGGGGGCAGTGCTGACACAGCAGGCTGGGAATTGAACCCAAGCCCCCTGTGCCTGCTTGCAGGTGTTTTAATCTGCTGAGCTATTTGGCCAGCCCTTTCTCTTATTCTGTCCAGGCTTTGCAAGCCATTGTGACATGGTTCTTCCTTAGTTTACAGCTACATGTCAGTCATCTGCAGGACCCCAGAGCTTCACTAATCTGCTAGGCACTTACTCGGGCCGACATGAGACAGACTGGAAGATTCAAGTGTTCTTACAAGAGCCTAGGACTCATCTGTCCTAACTGGGAGGAAGAAGGTCCTTTATTAAGGTGTCACTGTGGCTACAACCTGTTTGTGATTAGATCTTTTTGCACTTGGCCAGCTTTGTATCTGCTTACTACTTTTTCACCAGTATATAAATATCCTTGAAGTTTAAAAATGTATCTTAGTTGTAGGGCCAGAGAGATGGCTCAGTGGAATAAGCGCTTCCCTGGCAAGCGCAAGGGCCTG